GCAGGATATGAAGAGCAGGGGAGGGCTGGCACAAATTGGGAGTTGTATTATAGTGCAGCCTCTTTTGTATGGTTGAAGGAATGGGTGAATTTAACCAATAAGAGAATATTATTCTTAGAAGGCCATGACTTGCAAAGGGGGTGGCATGCTTTTTTATGGGATGTAGGGAAAACTAGCCAGAAATATTTTCACAGACACCTAATCAGAGACTCATTTTTAACTAATTGGAAGAAAATACAAAAAAAACCACTATTTAAAAATACCAATTTGGATTTCAACAATGGAGGCGACGATTCACCCAAATAATCTGGATATCACTAAAATGATTAAATATAAGGATCTATCGGATACACAAGGAAATTTGAAATTGTGGCAAGAACTTCAAGAGCGGGCTAAAAATTGATCAGTGGGCATATCTTCAAATTCAAAGTAGATATAAACAGGACAAGAAAGAATTTGGAATTAACAATAAACTCCAGCAATTAGATAAAATTTTATTAGGATCAGGCAAAAAAAAACAACACAAAATTTTATAATTATTTATTAGAAGTAGAATTAGAAGAAGAAATTGTAAAAGGGAACATGATAGCCTGGTGTAGGAATATAGGATGTAGCATCACCATAACAGAATGGGAAAAGGTCTGGGGTAGAAATAATAAAATTACAAAATTGGTAGCATACAAAGAAAACGCCTATAAAATGTTTTATAGATGGCACCTTCCTCCTTCGAGATTAGCGAAGATGCACCCCAATATGAGTCCGAATTGCTGGAAATGCAAAAAAAAAAAAAAAAAAAGAGGGAACTTTTTTCCATATGTGGTGGTCCTGTACAGAAGCTCAAAAATATTGGCAGAAAATTAGAAATTGGCTGGAAGAAATGACAATAGAACAGATCGAATTCAAACCAGAGTCCTTTGTGTTAGGGATCTTTGATAAACAAATATCAAAAAAAGTGAAATATATAATAATACACATTTTGACAGCGGCCAGATTGGCTTTTGCACAATGTTAGAAGCAGCCTCATATTCCATCAGAGGAGATGATCATTCAAAAAATTTCAAGTTGTGCAGAAATGGACAAATTAACTTTGGCATTAAAAAATAAAGACACTTCAATATACTACAACAGCTGGAACTGCTGGTACAAATGGATAGACCAAAGATAGACTTCACGCTAAAAGCAAAAGAGGATAGGATAAATCCATAGTAATGATACACAGATATATGTAAGGATTAGGTGTGTGTATGTGAATAAAAAAGAGGTCCTACTTTTGTGACTTTAAACTGTGCCTAATAAAAGAGTGAAGTTAAGTTGAAGGCCTTACTGGACTTTAATATATGCTTTGGGTTTTGGGTTATTTTGAGAGACTACGGGTCATCACAAATAGTTTTTTTCATTGCATCTTGTTCAACAAAGAATGTTGTGGACTTTCTGGAATCCTTTGTTTATATATTACAATCTTGAGACAGTCATTAAGTGTTAGAGATATGCAGTGAGATTAATGCTTCATTCAAGCATCTGTTTATATATTTATAATGTCCTATTGCTCCATTTCGGAAGGATGTTATTACAGCCAGTATCAATTGAACTGTGAGACAAATTTAATATGTTTAGATGGCACATTTTTAAAAAATTATGTTCCCATAGAATGGAAATGTACATCTGGATAAAAAAAGAGGATTATCTGTGTCCAACTTCTAGCTTAAAGACCTATTCTCCATTGCTGGAAGGGAATAGCCCTAACCACTCAATGATCTGAAAAGTTGATGCTAATGGCAACTTAATAAACAAATTACTATAAACCCACTGATATAGATCAGTTTGGGCTGATTATAATGAAATATTGTATAGCTGTGTTTCATTGAAATGCTCATGTGGAACATGCATGTATGATTATGAAACTTCTGCAATTATTAATCATTGATATTATATCCCAAACTGATGGATGACCTCTTCCAGTGGCTCTGTAGTTATTTCCTCAGGATCGCTTAAACAATTTTATTAGAAAAGAAAGAATGGAGACAGAGCAATACTTATCTAATATAGCTGAATTAAAGGAGTGAAAATACATACACACACAGAGAAACACAAATATACCCACATATGAAGAATGTTTTGTTGGCAGTACTTTTAAAAAACTTTTTCACAATATTGTTCACTTCCTTCTTTCTTTTGTATTCAAATTATAATATGCAAAAAAATCCTTAAATGATGACAAAGTTTCATTAATCTGAGAGATGCAACACTCATGCCTTTTCATATAACACTAACGTCACTAAGGCAGAAATGAAAAAAAAGTATCTAATGAAGACTCTCTTCTAATAACACTAGAATTTTTGCTTGTCTTGTCTCATGTCAGAAATGCAGGAACTAGAAGGGGGGAAATTATTAATTTAAATTTAAAAAGATTTAAAACTTTAACCAAAACATAGATTTATATAGTTCTAGCCCAATGCAGGGCCACATTGATGGCAGGGATATTGTGATGACCCATAGTCTCTCAAAATAACCCCAAACCCGAAACATATAAAGTCCAGTAAAGCCTTCAACTTAACTTCACTGTTTTATTAGGCACAGTTTAAAGTTACAAAAGTAAATAATGAGGCAAACAAAAAACCAAAACAAACCACCTTGATGAGAGTTCCGAAGCAAGCCAAGGTAACTAATTATAAACTCCAGGAAAATAACTGAGAAAAGTCCATGGGAAGAACGCCAGCAAAGATAAGCCTCTTTCAAGCTAAACACTAATTGACTTCAGCAATTCGAACTGCACAGTTGCAAACTTATATACATAGCTCCCACCTGCAAGCCACGAGGAGGATCATGGTAATCTCCTCTTGAGTAGACCTCGCTTTTCCCTGATCCTCTCCTCCCTGCGTGACCTAGGATGGATAGGGGATGGGCCTGGATCCTCCTCTGACTTTTCAGCCGGCCTCTGCCCTTCCCCAGCCTCCTCCATTACCTCTGGAGCCACACTCCCATTCCCTCTTGGCTATTCCTCCTCTTCCTCAGAGTCAGTCTCCACCAGGGGCATGACAGATATTTCTGTCCAGCAAGTCATTCTGTGTGCATATTTTCCCAGGGCCACTCTAAAAGATGGATAGTTGTTTGAATAGTGACATATTTGCGGTTAACATCCTTGTCTTCTGGGAGAAGTTATCTGGTTTTTAGTTCTAGCCAAATCAGTGTGCAGTTTATTAAATATCTCCAAACTTTCTACTCCAGGAATTCCTCAAGCAGTTGTATCCAATTATGAAAATGTTTAACTTAAAAGTTTCCATCTTTTTAATCATTGTCTTTAAGGTGTACTTGTAGACAATTTGAAATGTTCCTGCAGACATTTCCTTGGCTGGTCTGCAGTTTTTCCAGACATGTTGCTTTCACATAAGCAAAATGGCTTGCTCTTTTTCAGAACACTTGAATGGGGATATTTATTGCCCACCTCAACTTGAATTTCAGAAATCTACCATATTACTATCCCTTGTATTTCTTTTTCTATGAGTTTAGGTTCAAATGATACGGTCCAGAAAAATGCCCGCTATAATAGTCATAAGTTTATGACCCATAGATGAAGGAAAGTGTATCCTTTGTATTGGAATACATCACAATGAGGCTGATTGAAACACTATAACCTGTTTTTAGTCACCAGAGCTGCAAGTTGAAGAAATTTTAAAAATAGTATTTTTTTATTTTAATAAAAAAATATTCTGAAGCAAGAAGTTGATATTGTTAACTGATGTAATTCGTTTTTGGAGGTCTTGCAACTGTTAGCAAGCTAGACAAAAACATAGCCAATGACATTTGGACACTTGGTCTTATACATCCCAGGTCCATAATGTCATGTTTCACAAATAAAAGAATTCCTGCACCCACAAAGTATCTCCAAATTCTAGGTGTAGATCTACCATTACTGAACGTAGTTTCCTGCAGCGGAAATTAACATATTGAGGTACATCCAGATTTATACCACATGCTGTCATGATTATGCCACATTCCAATATTCACACATCTTTTCTCAGAGTTATGTCCTGATCTGACACATTCTTGGTATCAGGGAAAGAAACAGAACTCTGATGGACCAAATCAAATCAGATTTGGAGAGGTTAAGGAGATGGTCTGCGGAACTGGACTACAAAAATCTGATCCACCAGATATGGAAATTCTGATGCTTTGCTACTGTTTGATGACCATCTGCACTTTAACAGTCCGGATCTAATAGCCTTTCTGGGAAGGCCCTCAAGATCTGCAGAAACATAAGTCACTTTAGAAACTATCACTTCAAAGAAAATAATCCCACTCAGTTCCCCAGCATGTAGCAAGAGCGGGAAAAAAATTCTTTCTTCTCAGAGAAGTTTTCTGACCCCTTGCACTTCTTAGGAACAGGAAAGCTTCCTATATTGTCCCACCTTCAATCCATTGACACCCCCCCCCCCCAAACAAAATTTAAAACCAAAAACAACAGTAAATGCAATCTCATGGCAACTAAACGTATGAATAAAGGGTACTACCAGTCTTGGTCCAAATAAGGAAGAGGCAGAGTGTTGGAAGAAAAATTACAAGGGCAACCGATCCCTGGCTAGGCGCACGTCATAGTCACATAGTCCAGTGCTCTCGCCTCACAATCAGGAGGCTGATGTGAGTTCGATCCTAGGTAGAGGCTAATATTTGGAATAGACCCTCCTGCTCGAGCAGGGGTTTACACTAGATGACATCCAAGATCCCTTCCAATTCTATTCTATGTTCTATATGCCTTCTATGTTACCAGATGGCCTCGTTAAGCCTCCCCTTCACTTCAGCGCAGGGGCGATTATTTCGTTGCGATCGCCCAAAATGAGAAAGCTTGCAAGTGATAGAGCCGATGATCCCAGCATAGTCTACCTTCTACCCACGGAAAACACCAGACAGCACTATTGCAGTTGTCCCCGATGGCCTTTCCCCCTTCCCCGGAGAGGGTAGGTCAACGAGACCTTTCCAACTAGACGAAATCAACGAGCACGGGGGAGAAGTCTATTTATTCTTTCTCAATCAATTTATTCCGAAGGAAGCGAAGCCAAACTACACGAACTGGATTGCAAAAGCCAGGGGACCTCTGTTCAAAACAGACTTGCGAGAGGCTTTTAGCGCACCTTCAACCTCTGGGGCAAGGAGGAAACAGTCCCGATAGCTAAAAGGGAAATGAGATCAGTTCTCAAGGCATTGCAGAAGCTGGGCTCGGTCTCGGCTGCCCAGCGATACAGACAGTCCGGTGCCCTAGCTCCGACTTCCTCCTTCCGCAGACGGCCATGGGGCGCCGGACTGGTCTGCTCTGTGTCTGTTTCGCGTTGCAGTTGATGGGGGCACAGGCGCAAGCGAGTAAGGACCGCGAGGAAGAGGCTGGCAGCGCGGATTTCCTGAGCCGCCAGCAGTACGAGCATTTGCAGAAGCAGCTCGGGGCCGTGCGGGACGTTTCCCACCGGTACTGGCATTCGCTGGCTTGCCAGTTGTGGCAGGAAGGCTGCGAGGAAGAGGAGGAAGGCAGCAGAGGCATCCTGGGACAGCACGGTAGGGTCCCCGCGGGGTTTCCCCCCTGGCGCTTTGCTGCCTTTCTCATTCGCGAATGGCCGCCCGAATTCGCCCTTGCAGCCTCCAAACTCCCAGAATTCTTACCGTGGGCTCTATGGCAGAAAGGACGCGGAAGTGCAGGCTTTGAACATAATTTCTAAGCATATTCTGAACGTGCTATTACAGAACAAGCGGGCGTAGAAATAATTCCGTTTTACATTGATATTTTAAAGCAGAGGTTTCCAAACTTGGCAACTTTAAGACTTGTGGACTTCAACTCCCAGAATTCTCCAGCCAGCTCTGGGAGTTGGAAGTCCACAAGTCTTAAAGTCGCCAAGTTTGGGAACCCCTGTTTTAAAGCTTGGGGATTCGGTCGGATATTGCTCCCTTCTTCTAAGAAATGCCCAAATAAATTGATTAAAGGATAAAGTAAAAAAATGCTCCCAATTCCCACAAGTTTTTACTAACACCACACTATAGATAGGTTTAATAAATGATTTTTATGCTGGTTTATCTAGGTATTTTGGAATAGGTTTCATATTGCTCTGAGACAATTGTAGAAGTAAAATGTCGAACTTTACAATCAAAGTAGCAAAAATCCATTGCCCTGTTAGAGTATTGTTCTCTGTAAAGCAAAAACAATTTTACATGTACAGCAGAATAAGAAAGTAAAATCCTATGGTGACTGAGAAGAAGAGCCTATCAGAAGAACCACACACCACGGGTAATGAAAAAAAAAATCCTCAAGAGTGTTGGAAGTTAAAACCCACCCCTCTCCTAGAAAAATGAAATATTTTAGGATATATTAAAAAGGCAGAATATTTCCCCTAAAAGAAGTAGAAACTCAGAGAGGCAGAAATTCAGCCACCCCACCTCCCACCTTTGGCCCAGACCTTAATGGCCCATTTACAGTCTATTCTGCATAACAAAGGCCTACCTCCTTCAGGCAGACCCATTATAGCTAGGGTCTTCAAACTTGGCAAGTTTAAGACTTGTGGACTTCAACTCCCAGAATTCCTGAGCTAACATGACTGGAGGAGGAATTCTGGGACTTGAAGTCCACAAGTCTTAAAGCTGTCAAGTTTGAAGACCCCTTGCATTATAGAAAGTGCAAAGCCCTTTCATTACATCATCCAGCAAGGCTCAGCCAAACCTGGAACTCAGGACAGCCTACATGGCCCCATGGAGCCTGCATGGCCCCATGGGAATCTGACAACCAAGCAGAATACAAGCTCAAATTCAAATCCCAACAGGGCATAAATCTCCCTCTCTCCCTCCCTCTCATTCTCCACCCCACCCTCCCTGAATGGGAGAAGGACTGATCCAATTCCAATCTCTTCTGATTACAGTAGTGGGAACTTTCCATGTGTGGCTTCTTATTTTCAGCAAAATGTTATCCATCCAAGACTTAACCATTTCCTTCCTTCTAGAACTGTTTCTCAGTTTGGCAACTTTAACAGGTATGGACTTCAGGATGCTGGCCAGGGAATTCTAGGAGTTGACGTCCCTGTCTCATAAAGGTGCCAAAATTGACAAAAACTTTTCTAGAACAAATGGATGTTGTTTGCTCACTTCTACAATTGCTTCACTGTGGGTGAAAGAACAGAAAAGGGATCATCGGAGAGACACAGGCTTGGGTTTCTTGTTGGGTTTCTTGTATCTTTGCATCTGTGTACTGAAATCCATGTGTTCTTTCAACTGGCTATCCCAGACTGGCTGATTTAGATCAGTGCTAAAAGTAATAGTAAGCTCTGAAAAGTGGAATTACCCTTGTAAGAGAAGAATAGTATAGAAAAAGCTGCTATTGCACTTGCAGCAGAAATGACAAGAGAAAAAGTTGCTGTGCAGTATTGGTTACTTTGGGCAAATGAATGTTTTTTCATCAGGTGCAATGAAAATATCACAGCTAACAGCAAGATTTGTAAAACAGACTGAGGATGAGGAACAAGGTAGAAGTTTCTTCCAGCCAATTGCCGAGTAGCAATTCACTTTTTTTCCCCCAATCTGATGTTCTTACCTTTTAGATTGGAAGTTACCCATGGTGACAGAATTAGTCTCTACCTGGTACTGTGGCTTTGGCAGGTGCTGCCCAACAGGAGACTGCAGAGTGGTCAACAATATCACAGGTAAAGACTTGGCTTTCTTCTTATTTTAATTCCTTCCCTCCTCTATATTAAAAATACTGCATTACCCAAGTTCAACATTTATGCTTCTGAAATCTAGAAATTTGATGCTATACAGCTTTAATTTGGCTTAAAGGCTAATTAGCTTTGTTTTAAGCGGTGTATATTTTGTTTTATTAAAAAATAAATTATAGTACTCAATGCTCTTTTCCTAACTGCATCTCTTTTAGTATAATAAATACTATATCTTTCTGGGGAATGACAAAGCTATAAAACCAAAATCTTTCCCTTTAATTCCAACACAGTAAAGTTGCACTGTTCCTTTTTTATTTGACATGGGGACCAATTCTTTCCATTATAAACTAATGATTGAAGCACTGAGACTGAATACATATTTGATCAAATTAATTGGGAAGAAATGGTGAACAGAAGATGATTCTGCTAAAAGCAGCTATATTGGTTCTTCATAATTCCTCTCCTGATAAGGAGAGGACTTGAGATCACCCACAAGTGCTCTGTACATTTGCTTCTCCAATCTTTGATGGCTTTTGTGCTCTGGGACATGAGAAAATAGCTATTTTGCTCAAATTACAATTGTCACCTTTAATAGAAACTTCTCTACTTTCGGAAATATTTTTTGTTGACTATTTTCAGTCTGGATTAATTCTGCAGGTTTTGTCATGTTTTCCAAGTTACCTGCTGAAGCAGAGGAACAGAGATAAGAGATAAGAATTTACATAGAGAATATGTACTATCAAACGCAGTTATGAGAAATCTTTCTTTTCTGAAGAACCATTAGAGATTTCCCACCCACATTAAGCATATCTTCTTGCACAGCTATAAGAACTACTTGTTTACATAAAGAAAGAACAGTAAGATCAAGGGTCTTCAAACTTGGCAAGTTTAGGGTTTGTTAGACTTCAATTCCCAGAATTCCTGAGCTAACATGACTGGAGGAAGAATTCTGGGAGTTGAAGTCCACAAGTCTTAAAGCTGTCATGTTTGAGGACCCCTGAGTAAGTGGATGACAAGTGGATTTTGGAGCCAAGGCTACAACTTGTGGTTTCACTTTTATTTGCTTTTATGTTTGACAATTTGAGCTCAAGAAAATTCTAACATGATCTTGAGAATCTTGATTTCTAGCAATGTAAGGCTTATGCAGTTTCCAAGTAACACCCTCTTTTTCTTTCTCACAGGCTTGGAACTGGTTCTGAGCAAACGACTCCATGGCCAACATTTGGCAAAAAAAATTGTCCTGAAAGCCATTCGGGGTTTCTTGGAAAAACGACAGCCCGAGAAAGCACTAACTCTTTCTTTTCATGGCTGGTCTGGTACTGGCAAGAACTTTGTAGCTCGTTTAATGGCAGAACATCTTTATCGAGATGGCCTAAAAAGCGACTGTGTTAAAAATTTTATCTCAGTACTTCATTTCCCTCATCTCAATTACATGGACCTTTACAAGGTGAGAGAATATTTGCATATTGTGTGTCTATGTGTGTGTTAAGTATAGTGCAGTTTTAGGGAGAGGCTTCTACTTAGAAGTCAGACATGCAGAAGGTCCATGGATGAATTATTTTATCTTGGAAGATGTACAAAACAAGGAACTTTAGAATTCCTGGATGTTTAGGGAACACAACATTAGTGAAATCTGTACACGTCATGCCACATATCCACACAAGTTGCCTTGATTGTCATTCAATGGGCTATTGTAGATCACTGGTTTTAAAAAATCCTGGATTGGCTAATTAACTTAAAAATTGGCTATATTCATGTGAATCTTCCTATAGCCAAAGGTCTGTTTGGGTTAATCCTTCTGCGTGGTCTCTCTCTAGCAAAGGGCACATGGGCAGTGGCCTGTCCTTAGGGATCCAAACAAAACGATGTAGCTTGACGAGACTAGATCAAAGTACACAGAATATTTATTTTGGTCCAGGATACAAAACAGTAAAGACAATATCACTGATGCTCAAAAGCAAGTCAAAGTTTAAAAGTCTAGGTGAGTAAGCTGAATTATGGGCACCTATTAATATGAATAACATCCAGAGTTAGGTGGCATAAAATTTTAATATGATTGGCTGTGCAGTTGGCAAGATCTTTAAACTGGATTTGGCATTTTTGTCCACTTCTTGAGTTCTAACCAAGGATCTGGGATAGAAAGATAGTGTTTAATCATATTAATATTAATAATATTGTTCCTGCTCTTAGCCATTGCCAAGTTTTGCTGCTATCTGCTTAGACTGCTACGTTTTTGTTTACTGGTTTTATAATCCTTTGCCATGCCATGTTTCTTTTCTATCCTTCAGTTAGTCTTTCTTGAGGATCAGTTTAGTTTCTCCAACATTCAGAAAGCCTTTATGGCATACTATGAATGAGTGTGAATGACTATGACTTTATGGCAAGGGTCCCCAACCCCTGGGCTGTGGCCTGCTCCGGCCTTGAGTCGTTCGTAATCAGGCTGCAGAAGTGGTGGGTGAGCGTGTATGCACATGGTGTGCACATGCACTCCATTTGTACAAGTGGCGGTTGAATGCCCATCACTCACACAAATGGAGTTGTGCATGTGCCTACTTCTCGCACGGAACCATCCCCTCTCCCAACCACTCCTGCCATTCCGCAAAGCCGAAAATGTTACAGAACTCTGCTTTATGGCATCATCTTCACTCACCTCAAATACTCTTCCAATGTTTATCCAAGGAGCTCAGTATTTCAAGCTAAAAAAAGAAAAGAAGCCCAGTTGCCATGACTTAGCTTCCAGACAACTTTATTGGGATGACTGAGAACCTTCATCGACAGTTTGAAAGTTGTTAGTAAGTCAGTAAATGGCTTGTAGTTGCTAGGTGTTGCCCCTTTTGTTGAATCTTTCATTATCAGGTAGGTTTTGCCAGAAGTTAGCCATTCTTTAATTTCACCTTGTAGTATATTGTTGAACTGCTTGGCAATGAGTGAATGCAGACCAATCATGTTTCAACCAAAAGCTATAGCAATTCATCTTCACCTGGTCCTGATCAATTCTTGATCTTCCTTACCCTTTTCCCTGCTATATCTTCTGTGGTTACAAAGTCTTTCATTTCAATATCTTTTTTAAAAAATTCTTAACCACCTCCTTTAGCCAGGCTGCATTCTTATTGTACTTCTTTGGGTTGTCCCATATCTGCTCCCAGAAATGTGCTTTGTCAGGCAATTATAAAAACCTTTTTGGTGGGAATCACAGACCTTTAGATCATTCTCCCTTGGAAAATATTTCTGGTTCCCTCACTCATAGCATACAAACAAGGATTTTTAAATGAAAAAAACTTTTGGATTTTGTTGATAATTTCATATTGACTTCATTTTTCTTGATGTTTTAGAGATTGCTTTTAAAGGTTATTAAGGCTACTTAATAAGCATCAATTCTAAAAGAGGGGATACAAGGCCACAAATAAATCTCTGTCTACACCAATTTTATTTATGCCAATTTAATCATTCGTGCCTATTTTCCCTGTTCACTCAGGTTGAGCTAACAAAACAAATCACCGAGACAGTCGGACTCTGTGAACAATCCTTGTTCATCTTTGATGAAGCAGAGAAGCTTCATCCTGTTCTCCTCAAGGCCCTCGAACCATATGTGGGTCACAATGGCAACACTGACGAGGTTGATTACCGGCAGTCAATCTTCTTATTCCTGAGGTAATTTTTGTTTTGAGTATAAGAAACAAATCCTAAGTCATATTTTCTGGGGACTTTTCAGAATATTAAAAGTCTGAGCTTTTAATATTGAGGAGTAATCCAGGGTAAAAAAAATGAGGTAGAAAAATCTAGAAACATATCAAGACTTCCACAAGTTTATTAAAAAGCTCTTCCTGAAACTTTCTTGCCACTTCCATTAACAGATCCCGAGTTGCACTTTCTTTTGGCCTCGCCGAAAAGCTGAACTTTGCAAAAGCAATAAGATTTATTTCTGTCCTTTTACGAATTCTGTATAGTGCAAGTACAGAAACATACAGGGGATGATTATTTTATTCTCTGACCCTACTATTGACAATGTTGCTGATATTCAAGGATACCCTTTAGAGAAGAAAGACTCATGTTCTTAAAAATACCTTGCCTAACATCTAAGAAGCAGCTTTGAATCTTTAATTAAAATCTCATCTACCTTTATTAACAGCTGGTCTGTTGATAATGATAATTGAGTTTGAAAAGCAAATACAGTGGTACCTCAGCACTCATTCTTAATTGGTTCCTGGAAGCACAACGAATATAAAAAATGATGAGTATCAGAGCTTTCCCATTAGGAACAATGTCATAAGGCATCAGACATTGACAAATTTCGCTTGTGTGTTGAGTACCTGATGAATACCGGGACAAAATTTATACATCAAAATGCCTTGAGTACCAAATTCAATGAATTTTAAAGCAGTTGAGTACCAAGGTACCACTGTACCTATACCTTGTACCTGTACCTTGCTACCTATATTTCTTGCACTGGATCTTTGAAACCAGTAAGATTTGTGCCAATTTCTTTCTTTTTTATTTACTGGGACCAAAATTTGCCTAAAGCCCAATTGCTTTTTACTTAAGAGGCTAGGGATTTACCTAAGTGAACCAAATCCCTTACTGAAAATCCTCTTTAGAGGGAAGACAACAAACATGAATGCTATTAATGCACTAGATGTCTTACAACAAGTCTTTCTTTTTCTCAGTCTACCTATTCCACTATAATAATAATACTCTCCCAAAAGAGTAGGACAAAAAAGAAATGGGTAAAGAAATCATGCTCCACATCTTAATCTCATTCCATAAAACAGGAGGTAAAAATGCACATATGATTACAGAAAGATTGCCTGTCCTTACATTCCACCACAATCCATTCTGGGAAATTCAAGTGAATTCAGACTGATTTAATGTATGAGTAGAAATGAGAAAGTTTCACCCTCAGGACTTTCGACTAACAACTTTGCCCTGTGATATTATTGTGAATACAGGACAAGGCAGCTTATGTATTAAGGTTATATTTTGCTGCAACTGCTAAATTCTGTTGGTCAATGAGATGAGTTTTCGACTTACGATCACAATTGAGCCAAACATTTACACTGCTAAGCAAGACAGTGTTGCTCCATTTTACAACCTTTCTTGCCACAATTCACTGTTAGTAACACAAATGTTGGTGGAACTGGCTTCCTCGTTGACTTTGCTTGTCAGAAAATCCCCAAAGGTGATCACATGAACCCAGGACACGGCAACCATCTTAAGTACATGCCAGTGGTCAAGTGTCCAAATGTTGATCCCGTGGGGGACGTGCAGCAGTTGCAAGTGTGAAAAATGGTTGCAAGTCACTTTGTTTCAATACTGTTATAATGTCGAACAATCACTAAATGAATGGTTGTAAGTTGAGGACTATCTGTAATATTCTTTTTTTTGTACCCAGTAACACTGGTGGAAACATCATCAATAAGGTGGCCCTGGATTTCTGGCAAGCTGGTCAAGCTAGGGAGGAGATCACCATGGAATATTTAGAACAACTCCTGCGGAGGGACCTGCTGGATGCCCCAGGTAAGTTGCTGTTTGTTCTCAAGTCTTTACTGCCACTGAAGTTCTAACTCGGGTAGTAATGCAATTTTTTTGTCTTTTGCAAGATATTGATCAAAGGCAAATGTGGAGTACTATTTGCCCATACACAAATCATATCAGTGCTTTTAAAAAATGTGTTAATTTTCACCATTCTAATGGAATGAATAATATGACCACAAGCAATAATTGGAGGGATCTGTTAACACATATTGTGGCAAGCCAGGTTTTATTTTTCTTCAAATGTTTGAAATTTCCCTTCTCACCTGCAGTTTAATAGGCATGTTTGGTCTAAAAGGAAATATTACAGCATCTTAATATCATGTTTCATGACATAAGCTTTTATGAACTAGGTATCTATTCATCTACTCTTGCAAATGTAAACAGAGATGTTAGTGGGAAAGAGACCTAAATTTTGAGGTCAGAGGGAAATGAAATGCAGTAACATTAAAATGATAACAGTAACATCTATAAACAGGTGGTATCTGCCGAATCTAGCGATACCTTCATTGTAGCTTGGTAAATGAATGGGCCCCTTTTTCATTCCTTAGCTTAGCTGAATCAAAGGAGGAGAAAGTGGGTTTTTATGAACAGGTACACATGATCAGTGGAACAGTTTTTGCTTAGCCAGGTCTTCCAGACTGAAATGAGAGAAGATTAACCCTGTCAACTGTCTGTAGGAATGGGATGAAATCCCAAAATATCCCTGGAAACAGGAGTTTTTCTAGATACTCCATTTCCATTTCCTTGTGTGTTTTACTCTGCAAGATAAGAGGCAGAGTAAGCCCCTTCCATAAATTCTACTGCAGTGGCTCCAACCTTGGTTAGTCTGCCAGAAAGTTTTCAGTTTGCTTTTGTCCAGTTGAGGGGGTAGGAGGATGATTTAAGTCTACTAGTTACTAGTAATTATCCACTGTCACACAAAGAGTTGCATCAGAACACTATATGGCAAGGTGAGAACCCTCTGTATGACCCAGCAAGCTAAATAACGGGAGGTAAGTTACCTATGTAAATAATTCAGCAGAATGGGTACCCACAAGCATTTATTACAAAATGCCTGCATAACACGCAAGAAAGAGAAATGAAGAAAGAAGGTATGAGACCAACTATTGTATGTAGCACACCCTGCCATACATCAAAAAAAGAATGCAGCTTCTGACGTCTGCAAGTGAGTATCGCGCACTGCCCAGAGGCTACCATAAATCATGCATTGCAAAGATCACTCGGAGGTGGGAGTTACTTCTAATATAATCTACCAGGTCCCTTGCATGGATTGCCCCTTTGACTGTGTAGGACAGATGGGGAAGAAGCTAACCACCAGATTACAAGAACACAAGCAAGCAGTCAGAGATCCAAACTCATTGGTAGCCTCACATTGCAATGAACCAAGACATACACTCAATTTCACAGCTATTAAGATCTTTGGCTGTGCAGGTAGAGAGCGCCAGGGAAATGATTGAAGCCTGGGAAACGGCCCCCTTGTCAGTTAATGAGGAGTTCTGATTTGCCGCCAGCTTACCAGGTACTGGGGACTTGGCAGTACAAGGAAAAAATAGCCAATCACTGGCCATCAACCCACCAATCAACCAATAGGAAGGCATAGAATAACCCAAAGCACAAAGAGAGAAGTCCCCGAGGATGGGCTCCAGCATGAGTGAAAGCTCAGAAGACTAAACCTCTTGGTCCCAGTGACCAATCCAGAATGGATCTTGCAACATAAGATTTTTCACTGTTGCTGATATTATCTTAAAATATGCCATATGTATCAAAGATACTATAAACTCTTTTTGGTCTTCCCGGTAATGCCAAGTAACTAGTTACTGTCTACCCTGGTCAATAATGAAGAAGCAGGAGATACCAGATATTGAATTGTGCCTTTTTTTTCCCCAGACACCCACAACTTTCTTCTTCAGAAGAACCTCATAGACTTTCTGGTCCCTTTCCTGCCTCTGGAATATCACCATGTGAAGCTGTGTGCTCGGGATGCTTTTCTTGCTCGAGATCTACAGTTCACTGAAGAGATGCTAGATGAGGTTGCAAGGACAATATTTGCTCCCAAGGGGAATAAATTATTTTCTGCTCAAGGTTGCAAATCAGTATCTCAGCGTATAAACTAGTTTCTTCTTTGACAGGGGGAAGGTGAAGATTGAAAGTGAGTTTCTCTTATCTTATACAAGGGACATATATTTTATTTATTACGCTAACTAGTGTAATATTACCTGTGTTCTCCATATTATTGGGGTTGCTCAGCTAAAAAAGGTAAGAAAACTCCATTGCGGATATCTAATCTACATGAAATGGTTTGACTGAAATAGTAATATATCCAGAGTATTTTTCCAATACTGGTTACAAATGATGCCTTTGGGTCATATTGTTATCCATTATATTGAGTGGGTTTTTAAGACAGCTTGGAGAGAAGATATGTGAGGCTGACTTAATTTTATTCCAGGTCTTAGATAGCTAACAATGATTTGAATCAAACAAATTCTTAGTCTGCATTCTTAGTGCAGTGGCTGGGCAAGGAGCGATCATATTCCCTTACAATGAAATCTACCTCTTCCACAATCCTTGTGTCGAATTAAGGTATGGAGGAAATATTTTGTCCTTTATTAGTGGCCTGGTGTCAATCTTCATTTTATATATATTTAATATCTTTCTATCTAAATATTTCACATGAATATACATATCAAAAGACAAAATATGTGCCATTCTTTTTATTATAACTTTTACAACAGGACAAACTATATACTTCCAGTCCAGCACTGAAATTGAGCAATAAGGTTCCAGTTCTGTGTGATAAAAGTACTCCTTGTATAAACCACTATTTGCTGGTATTGCACTTCCGTTGTCTTTGTAGATTAAAATGTTGAATGGAGGGTTGCTTTTGTGGGATATTGAAGTTTGGCATTCATAGCAGGCCACTAGCTTTGTCAGAATAAATATACACAGATTTAGCTAGCCAGATATACTCAATTTGTAAGAGCTATGTATGTACACAGACTGACTGAACACGGAATTTAAGTTTCGAAAAATACACAAACCTTGTGCAAAATTGAACCATATGGGGAAGACCAAAGTGACTTTGCAGCAACATAGGTGTCCCCAGCATCTGATCCTAGTTCAATCCCAATTTAGAAGAATAAATGTTATAGATTTTAGGGCAAATGATAGAAATTGGGTTTTTTTGTTCTCACATTTTAGTGTTAATGCTTCACAAATGTAAAATACAGGTAGATCTCATTTAGCAACTACCTCAAGATTATGAAGATGATGACAAAGTAACTGTTAGACACATTTGCCATTACAGTCAGTACATGCCCTGTGCTTGAGCTTCCCATCACCACTAACCCCACTTAAAACTAGTGATCTTTTCTTGAACTTTCTATCACAGTGTTTTCTTCTCAAAAATGCTACCAGCAAGTTAAGATGCCAAGATCTATGATTTTAATTAGCCAGTTTTTAGCTGATACCTGCAACCAGGGTTGCCATCTGGCCATTTTTCTGGCCAAATTTGAGAAATCTGGCCATATTTCTATCTGCTTGGCCGTGAAAAAAAATGATGTCTCTGGCCAAATTTATTTGGCCGAAATTTGGCCGTACGAAAGTTGCTTGGCCGTGAAATTGGCCAGATTTCTCCTTCCCTCGAGCATGCGTGTCACCATGAGCAAAAGGACAAGTGCGTCCTCTCAGTTCTCCGACACGCCCGCTTCCTCTCAACTCCGGTCACACACCCCTTCGGGACCTTGGCACCCGGCCACGCCCCCTTCCCGCCTGTGACCCAAGCAGGGGCGGTGGCTCCTCCAACACCACACCCATTCCTATTATGGCTTGTTCCAACACCACGCCCCTCGGCTTCCCCACCCATCCCGAGCTCTCCTTCCCTCGCACATGCGCATCACCATGAGCAAAAGGAGGACAAGCGCGTCCTCTGGCGCTCTCCTTCCCTCGTGCATGCGCAAAAAATAATTTGTTTTGACTTGAGTTTGGCCGCAGAACCAAACTGCAATCTGGCAACCCTGCCTGCAACTGATAAGTATTTAGTTACTTTCACACGTTTGGCTTTTGTTGTCTCCTGTGCTGCTGGGGGCTCAAAGCCACAAGTAAGCTAGGCAAATAGCTGGTGCTGGTGTACTTCTTTCCATGTGTATTTTTCATTGTGTACCTGCTTACTCTCTTGTAATCCCTTCCTCTCCAATAAATGTAAATACAAACATTAATCCCCTTCTTGCTAATTATCCCAGCCTCACACCTTTGGGTGAGTATTCCAAAAGAGAAAAGGGAAACTGAACAACAATCACGGGCACAGTTACAATCATGTAGTGCTGAGACGACAATCCCAATTATGATGTCTTTTAAACAAGGACTACCTATAGTCCAAGATAGGGAATAATTTAAGATCTGCAGATAGGCAAGCAGTTGTGTATTATGTGTGCCAGACAGTCATGCCCCATTTCTTCTCCTATACATCCTGTGAACGGAAGCACATAGACCTAAACCTTCCATTTAATTTTCAGAGTGGCTTGTTACAAAAGCTGAGCAGAACATCGTGCCTAACCGAAAAGGTATTACACAAATTGTTGACATTTGATTTGCTAGCCAAATGACGGCAAGATTGTATTTACTGTCTAGGTTAGTTTGCTAAATGATGTAACATTTGTAACCTGTGACTGGGGTGAAGAAGCAGAAGGTATACAGTACAGAACAAAATGTGCTTTGAAATATGAATCTGTCTTGTGTTAGCAGTTTCACCAGAACCATTCCCATTTGTGTACAACATTTCAGCATCTGAATGTGTGCTGGTAAACTCTGTGGATGATTTCCACAGAAAACTAGTGAGTTCCTTGAATTCTGACCGATAATAAATCATTTGTGACAGCTTTCACATGTTCAAGTCATCATACATGTAAGTGTGAAATGCCAAACCAGTTCCTTTTTTAACCTTTTATGTATATAACTGCATGTTTTTCTTTTAATTTCATTATTCACTCAGTCACTTTGCCGTAAAAGAAAGTAACATATCCTGAAATTTAATTGCCAATAAAATATTGCAATTTTTATTTAAAACAAAATGCAAATTGGCAAAAATCTCTGGAACAGGCAGAGGCAATGCCTCCAAGGGCCTTACTTACATCAAGTTAACACTGTTTGCAGTTCACAGTCAGGAAATAGTGAAAATTTAAATTAGAAAAAAACCAAATATATTACAAACAACAACAAAAAACAAAGTAACATTTGACAACACTAGTAGTGTGGGTTTTTCTGTGTCAGTCGCACATTTCAGTTTCACCCATTTTAATCCTCAGTGAATTCAACTAACAGAGTGCTGGGTTGATTAAAATCCTTAGCCATTCCCCCCCTCCCCCGCCCTCTGGAAAGCTACCTCTTACACATCATACAACGTTGGCCATTTTTGTCCTAGGCAACTTTAGAGAAATTACACATTCCTAATATGCCACTTTTCTGGATTAGAGGAAAAGGCCACATTTTCACATCAAGAGTTGTACTTGAACCAACTGTGCACAGGCAACTCTTAATACAGTACTGTGAATGGAAAATAGAAAGTGGTGTCTGATCATGGTCATTGCTTTAGTCATTTCAGCATTTCCTAAGTCTGTATTTTAAAACAAGCACGCCATCCATTAAGAAGCAGAAAAGGGGACTAGCCAATAGTCTATTTGCTTGAAAGAAAGACTAGATGTTTCCAAGTTAATTTTTAATATAGGGGCTCATCATATATCAATAGGAGACTGAGCAATGAGTAATTGAGAAGGACTACTTCTCTTTAATCTTTTGTGGAGAGGGGTCATCTTAAATGAAGGCTCATTTCCTTTCAGTTAAATATAGTTCCAAGATCCATGCAGTCTAAAATTGGGATGTCCAGTAGCTGCTTGGGAAAACTTCTAGCAAATGAGCAAAATCAATCAATAAAAACCTTTCCTAGATTGCACTGAGATGAGGGAAAAGGGGTTGCGCTTCCATTCAGATCAAAAATAGAGGGAAAGAAATGAAGCATGTGACAAAGTTTTGTAAATTGATGGCCATTTTTAAGCAATACTTAATTCTGAAATAACACAAAGATTGGACAAGCTTTAATATGTAAAACATGTATGAAATGTATCTTCATAATTTAGCAATAATTTTTTTTCATGAGGTGGAAAGCAAAAACTTTTTCCCCTTGTTTTTGGCAAAAAAAAAAGGACTTTGAACAAGAAGGATTTGAGAGCATTATTTAGCCAGCTTTGAAGACAATGACCAAACAATAATCTGTTTTAAATCTGTGTTTTCCATGTTTAGAGTTTTGATGATATATACTTCTAAAATAGAAATTTTAGACTTCGCATCTCTACTCATATAGCGTCATAATATGCTATTCAGCAGAACAACTTCCTTAGAGAATGAATGTTTTATCTTCAATTCTGCTTTAAGACTAGAGAATCAACAAAAATGTTGCTGAAAGTGTTAATTTTCAATGCAGAGCTTCGGGTAAGCGTACAATTCTTTTGGTTATTGACTCCCTAAAAACTGTCCTGTGAAATTTCAGCAGCAAACCACTAAAAGAACAGAGGAGCAATGAGAAAATCAAACAATAAAAATCTGTAGGTTTATATTTTTTTAAAAAAACCTGCATGACACAACTACCTTAGTAATCCTACCTCTAACAGCTTGCAAATTGTTCCTGCAACATTATTCCATTCACAGGAGCCCTTAGTTCCCCAAAATTAGAACCATTTTTTGAGCATCTAATATTCCTTACTCAGGGGAAAAATAATTTTTCACTATTTTGCAAATCCATGTGCTCAGGAAATTCCTATTTGTTCAAGACCGCGCATGGATTTTAGTTTGAGATGAATTTGCTGGAGAAGCCTGATATTTTGTACTATATTTTGAATTAACTGGAGTTTGCCAATCAATCTACAGTACTACAATTATTATTTTTTTAAAAAACATGATAGTACAAGCACACTGCTCTAGAATTTCTGCTATTAGGAGCACAGTAATATTATTTTTGAATGAATTGTATATAATACCAAAACGCTATTTCACATTATGGGACTGATTCGGTTCTTACAGTTTCCAAGGCAACCTGGGAACATTTTGAATTGAGCAAGGAACCAATAGAACACAAACTATTCCATCAACTAAAACCAGAGTTCTCTCATAAGATTCCATTAACTATTAACATCATCCCTTTGCCCCAAATAGGCTGTAGAAACTTCTATCAAAGGTGCAAATTAACAGATAATGCATTCCTGTCATGTTTAGAACTACAGTTTAGACTTACTCAGCTTCAAGAACAGCATATACAATATACCGTTCTGCCCCTCATATCTTCACTGTAGCAAGGTAACCAATAAAAGAAGACACGAAGCAGAGATTTATAACAACAAAAGTAATAAAGGCAAAGTTTATGCATTATTGTCTGAAAAGAAATTATGGCATTCTTGAGCAAAAGAGAACATCTTCCTATCATTATCAAGAAAGATCAAAATGGTAATCTGAAACTCATGCAAAACCAGAAAAAATTCTCTGCATATCCAAGGTACGGTACAATCTCAAACAGCCTTCATTCAAATCTTAGGTTGGATTATACTAAGATGTATGACAGCTGAAATTCAACTACTGATTCTGGAAGATACCAGTTTGGGGCAATGGCTTTAAAGCTTTCAATGCCTAGCAGATATTATTCAGAGTCCCCTAATGATCCCTTGATTAGTTTCCATCCCATACCCACACACATTACACTTATCTCTTTTTAAGGGGTGATTTCTTTGATTCACTCTCCCAAATTTTGGATATGTTCATCATTATACCGAAAATTCAACAAAGAAGCATGGGCCAAGAACTGTAAGTTTTGATGAATTGCATTTTTTTCACTTGAACTTAATGCATAGCCTGGTACAGTCTGGCCTATGAAGCAAAAGTGATTCTTTTCATTTTTTTCACTAGCATATATTGTGTACAGATTCCATGATAATTTCGTATTTACACAATCACCAAAAGGTTCACCATAAAAACCAATAAACATGCAATGTTTTAAACTTTCAATACTTAAACATGACCAATTAAAAAATTAAAAGGTACATGAAATTTGGCCCTAAATGAATTTAGATTAATGCTTCTAATTGATGAAAATAAGATACTAACAAAGGTGCAGTGGCAGGTAGAACTGCTGGAAAAGCTAATGAGAAAATGTGCCCAAGGAAACCCTAACAGAACAGTAAACAAAGGAGAAAAATTTTAGCAGAAACCAATGTGTCTGCAAAAATAACTTAAGAAAGATCCAATGATAAAAAGGGCACATATAGAAGTTTTGAAAGGGGGAAGATCACCAAGGAAGAATATCTGCAGATTACCTGGATTTGTAGAGATGGCATAATGAAAACTAAAACTCAGAATGAGCCAAAGTTAAACAAACAATCCTAAGAATCTTCCAAAAGGAGGTTCAACATATGTGTACAGCTACAATGTGTCAGCTGGTCAATGAAAACAGTGAAGACTGCTTGATTCTTATTCAGTCTTGTCCAAAGAGGGCATACATCCTGAGCAATTATGAAGAACAGATTGTTTATATTTCACCTAGCTAAGGAACAGTTGTTAAAGGAATTCGCACTCTTAGTTGACAGGTGAGACAGAGCAAGAAAACCTTAGAGTCAAGTCCAACTTTGGCCTCATTGGTGGCTTTGGACCAGTCTTTTATTAGCCCCCCTTTTTCTCACAGAGCTGTTATGAAGAAAAGCACAGTAGGGTGTTCTATATATTCCTTCTTTTCCAAATCACAGGAAGTAATTGTCCCATTCTGTTCTGAACTGAACTTAAGTATTATGTCCACTCCAGTTCTTAGTATTTATTTTATATCACACTTAATCACCCATTTCCCTCAGACCATTACCCTTATAAGAAAATTTTAAATGACCATAACAAGTAGAAAGAGAAGCAACAAAGATGATCAGGGACTGGAAATCAAGTGCAACAGGAGAGATTGAGGGAACCAGTCAATATTAAGAAAAGATGGCTCACAGAAGGAAATAAATACCAGGCCACAGGAAAATGGTCTTAATTTTCAACAAGCCGTATTCCTGCTGAATGTTAGAATAATTTTCAAATAGGAGGACCAGTTCAACAGTCAAATCAGTTATTGTAAAATAGTAGTTTCCCTTCACTGGAAATCTAGTATAATCTGGGCAGACATTTGTTGGAGGTTGGACTCAATGGTTTAAATAAACTGTATCAATGATATAATGTACAATTCTATGACAATCAGGATGATTTTAAGTCTGATGCAAAAGGAATTTGCAGACATGAACAGTAGTGTGTGTGTGTGTGTTTGTGTACACATGCGCAATATCAGAGAAGTAAATTTTCTCCATCTCAAGCTACCTGTTACTTACCAGAACAAAGCTGATTTATTTTGGAGCGATAATTTCAGTGACAATAGAATTAGAATTCTGTGAGGGGAAGATTTTTATAAATTATCCCAGGCATATATGAAATTCCAGGCCCTTGCATTTTTAAAACAGATTTTGTATTAAGAGCAGCATATGGTGAACGTAAACATATTATATAAACCACTGTCCAACATGTAAATAATATCCGAATAACTCAAATCCAGAATTCTCTCAGGAAAGCAGAACAGTAATGGAAGATGCAATGGGCACCAGAGGCCAATTCGAAAAGCCATCAAGAAAAAAAAAGTGTCTGCATGATGAGAATGGGGATTGTAGACACAGGTATAGATACCCATTTTTTTCTTGCTCAGAAATGAAAGAAATTGTGCATTGGACGTCTGCAGCATGTACTGTTCTCTAAAGCTGTGCAGCAGTTTGGATTCAAAATAGGAATAATGATTCCAGGTACGGGGAACAGTCCCATAGAACCCATTGAAAACTACTTAAAACCTCTGCATGCTAGTGTTAGCTACCGCACAATCCCAAGAAAAAAAGACAAATTGCAAATAGATACTATGTGAGTTGCTCTGGATGCTCTTTAGCATTTTCCCCCTTTGGATCCGAAGCATTGCAGAACCTGCTTATGTGAAGACCTTATTATTCTGAATCAGAAATGGAACCCAAATGTGCTTTTATTCTGTGGGTTTTCCCCATCTAATAATGTTGCATGTTCAGTTACTATGAATGTGCTTTCAATTTCCTTCTCCACACAATATGGCTAAAAACTCTTCCATTTATGTATGGTTTAAGGCTGAAATGAATAACCCACTTGTGACTGAGGCCATAACGTAACTAATTAATGGTAGCTAAACAGCTCCAGAGAACAAAACGGTATCCACCATGTTATGTGGTGGGAATCAGGATTCCCAAGACATTTCAAACAGGGTCTTCATGATTTCTTTCTATTAAGCCTTTCAAGTATCAAATATCCTATACCTTCCTTGTTTTGTTTCTTGACAAAAAAAATGGGAAACCACAGCTCCATTGTTCAACAGTTTGTTGCAGAATTTCAATAAACAGAATGAGTTCAGGGGATCTGGCATAAACAAAAAAAAATAGGCCTTGTGGAAGCATTTAGCCTGATTTCTCTACCTTTCAGAAGCAAACGTGTTGTGCAAATGCTAGTTTAAAGTCACAGTAATCACAGAAAAACCCCAATATCATTTACTTAACATCAGTGGATTTTTGAAATTAGTGGTCCCATAGCAAGTGGACTTTAGAGGATGAGTTTTGCAACTGGACTACTTGAAGGGAGACGGCATGTTTATCCAGACTAATCACTTATAATGCATCCATGTGCAGGCAGTGTCTTGAAACTACAAATAAAGCAAAAATCTAAACAAAGAATCCCTATCAGCAATACACTTGAATTGGTATTCCAAGAGCAAATTTATAGTTCTACTAGAAAACATGAAGGCCTCAGGTCTCTAGTTCTCTCAAAAAGAAATGACATTAAGGTAAATAAAATAGGAATGTAGAGAACACTAGCAACATTCTGCAGTGTTTTTAATTCAAAAGGGCTCCTCAAGGGATAGCAAAGCCACCACTGTACCAAAGTTCAATGCCAGAGATAAATTAACAGTTTCTTGGGCATGCTATCCCCCCAAAGAACTCAAGTGATTGCCATTGGTTAGCTAACCATGCTATGCTACCCACGTGGTGAAGACTGCAGTATGAGTGTAAGGTGTGATTGTGTGAAATCCAGTGGCAAGTCTGCTTAAATTGTCATTCAATTTAACATTCATGCTGTGAAAGAGTGAACGTATGAGTGACTAATATCAGATGGGGATGATAAAGGGGGATGCATTTCATATTCCAGCTCTTTTGTTGTTTTTGTTTTTTGCATCTACGAATACAGCAACCAATTGCACTGCAGAAGGTCTACCAGACAGGCTAGTGCATACACATCCTACAGTGCCAATCTTTTTTTTAAAAAATATAAAAGACTTTCCCTCAAAATTATCCTCTTTCTTGGAAAGATCTAGTTGACTTCCAATGGCACCTCTAAGCCTTTCTGATATGACCTCAGAAAGTTAAAACACAGAGTAGTGCAGAAAAAGAACCTCATCTCTTTTCCAGTAATTCTAATCAACTGGACAAGCATCAAAGAGAATAAAGCACCTTATCAAATCAAGGGTACCTTCGTGGAATCTCCTTCCTCCCAGAAGTGAACAAGAGCCCAAGCTCTATTTTTGCAATTTTCTCACAAAGGCAAATTCCCAATATTTTGCCCGTCTCAGCTGCAATCATCTAACCCCTGTGAAACTTTGCTTCCCTCTTATCTGCCCCATGTACTGAGATGAACCTGTAAACATGTGAGCTCAATGATCTGAGGTACTTCACATAAAACTTACTCAAGTATCAGTCTCTTCTTTCAAAACATTAACATAGGGAAAAAATGATTAGAAGAAGTCACTCTGACTCTTCTCTCAATTTTGTGAACTTTTTTTTTCTCTCCTAAGCAGATGGTTTGACAGTAGCTACCTCTGAACAACATCACTGATTTCTTGTACACAAGACAATAAGTTATTAAGTACAGGATTTGCTCCAGACAGATTAGCAGCCATCGAGGACACCTGCAGTTCCTGCAGGCTAAGTTCCAGTTTGCTTACGGCTTCCCGGAAGGCAAATTTGTTGCGTGTTTGGGGGATGCAATCCACATAACCTGAACAGTAATCTAATAGTTGGTGCCCAGTATCTACCAGCTGGCTATTGGTGGTAGGCTCTGCAATGGCACTGGAGAAGAGGTCTGCACATTCCAGAAGCGCCTCTTTGCTGATCTTGTCTGCTGAGATTCTCTCAGCTGTCTGCTTGGTCTTTCTCAGAGCAACTTTAGCTCCCGCTGTGCCATTGGCCATTTTGGCAGGTGACGAAGACAATGGCAAAGGCACTTGAGGTGGAGGCATGATTGGCCTTGCAGCTTTTCCACCAGTAGGTGCCACTGTTACCTTTTTGCTGCCCTCACTATCTTGCCCGTGCTGTACCAATGCTCCATTATCCAACTCTTCTACTGTATCTGAGGTGCCTGGAGGCTGATGAAGGAGCCTCAGGACTGCTTGTGGTGGAGGCGGCGGCGGCGGCGGAGGTGGAGCACACTTTGGTTTTATCCGTCTGGGTCTATCCCTGTCACTAGAAGCAGTGCCCTGATGCTCAGATAAGAGCTTGAACCGATTCCCCTGAGAGTCTGTGCCAATGAGCTGCACCTCAGCTGGTGTATGCTTCAGAGTAGGTGAGATAAGAACGGGCACTTTGTGATTATGAGTGGTTGGAAGTATTGCTGCAGCCTTGGCTGGAGAAGGCCAGCCTGGTTTTTCTTCCCCTTCTACTGAACCTTGTCGTATCCCACTGTTTTTTTCTTTGCTTTTCAGGCTTGCTGCTGCTGTTGGCCCGTGACAATCCTTCTCTGAAACAGATGTGTCCACAGAAGGAGTCCTGAGAGGAACAGCTGTAGCACCCCTCGGCAGCAGTTTAGTTTTTGGTCGGCTTCTGGTCAGCGTTTGAATATCTTCACCCTTTTTAGGGAGAAGATCATTGGACTTGTCTGTGTTCTCCTCGGGCTCGGAGGAAGTGGATACTGTCCTTTCCAGCTGAACTTTGGACCTGTGGCAATTTCGGGGAAGAGTCATTGCCATTCTCTCCTGCTCAGGAAGACCTGCAGACATGGAAGATGTGGAGTTTGATCGGGGAAAAGGTTTTGAAGCTTCATCACCTCCAGTGGGCCTCCCGGCTCGTAAGCCAAATGTCTTTTTAATCAGGCGAGGTGTAAAGAAGCCTGTGAGGCCTGACCAACCACTACCAATGCTTGTGCCCCCACTGCTGCTGCCACCCCCATCTTCCCCATAGAAGTTCCGCTGTGCAAAGCTCCCAATATAACACTTGGATAAGCAAAGATTTCCATCTGGCTGGGACGGAGTAAATGAAAATCCATCAATATGCTGCAATGGACCAACTCCGGAAAAATTACCCGTTAATTCATACTTCTTATGAGCCTGGTTTTCCATTTCACGGAAGGAACTGCTGCGTTTGGGGGGCGTAGGGGCATTTTTCTTTTTCATAAACGAGCTAAAGAAACCACCTTTTCTGTCTCTGGTAAAGGTAGTTTCTCTAGTATCTTCTAACAGGCCACTAGGTGACTTGTCTCTCTGTTTACGAGGTAGTGCTGGGGATCCGCTGGTCTGCTGTGTGCTTCTGATAAAACCTAGACAAAAGAACAGAAAAGTCTGCTGCTCCATTTTTTAATTGGTCATGTTTAAGTATTGAAACTTTGTGTCTCCTTCACAGTGAAAGGAGAGGAAACAGCCTTGCTGTTCATCAGAGAAATACTGATATTTAACTTTTAAAAGAAATAGAAGACTGGTCTGCAGAATTATCCTTTTTTCCCAGCAAAAGCAGAAGAATTGATAAGGCTTAGGAATCTTGAGTCTGTGCTCTTTGCTGTGAGGGAAAGCATATTTAAAATGCTTCTTTTTCCTCTCAGTAATCAGGATACATGATCATGGACACGTCACTGATATTTGGCACAGCCTTTCCTTCCTTTTAATTTCCTAGTTTTCTCTCCTTATCTTGACTCCAGTCATATTGATTTCAGATATTCCCTAGCATATTACACAAATGAGTAAATTCTCTGTATTACATTGCTTAAATTTCTTCTGTTTTATTATGGCTATTACTGCATTCTTAGCAAGAAAAGCAGTTAATCTACAGTTGACTGGATTTGGGGGGGGGGGAATATTTCTATGACATTACTTTTCATACAGAAGTCAGATTCATTTAGCAGCTCGCATATTCAAACTGATCTAATATATAATCTACATAGCTGGCCATATATTCTGCTTCCTCTACCATCCATAAATACAGAGGGATGTATCTACTTTTTTATGACTATTCACCAGCAGACCAAATGTAATCTCCCATTTTAATTACTTATGGATATTTAAACCTGTTCCAGAAGATTGGTGCACCCTTCACATTAGATTTCAAGATTTTTGGGGGGGCAGATGAGAAATCATGTGCTGCAATTTTAGTTGTAATCCAATCTTTCCCTTTCTTTGAAACATTATTTCCCAGGACCTGAATCCCTGAGTCTGGACCACTCAAAAAACATACCTGGAGCAGAACTGGATGCAGAGTGCTCTATGATCTCCTGTGCTCCTTCAATATTCTCTTTGTTTTCTGTTTGTTTTTTTAAGGTTCTAGTCTTGGAAGGAAGTATAGGTAACCGAGGCAAATATGGAACTATTGAAGAAGAGGATGCGGTCCTTCCAAGTTCTTCTGCCACTTCTGTAATAAGCATGCATGAAATAATTTGTATTCATTAATTACCAGATTGATTCAGTCAACCAAATCTAAGCAAGAGGAACATCAACTGAAGTCAGTGCAACAATGTGTACAACAAAACCAACATGGTACATGACTGCAATCAAAAGTTTATTATTAACCATGGAAATGATTAAATGTTGCTTGCGAAACAAATGCCTTTTGAAACAGCAAAGTTTTGGAATGTTATGTTGCCTCGAGGGCAACCTATTCCAGAGGTGTGGTGCTCTTATAAAGAATACTTATTTTGAGGACCGTTGTCACCATACCTTAGTTTGGATCTTTTGCATACATTTCCCATGCCCCAAGATTTGATGGGCAGATTTATATAGGAGGAGGAGTCTTGAAGATATGCAAGATATCTTCTGTGCTCCATCGAGGTAAGGCTACATTCAGTTCAATAACCAAAAGTGGACAAAGACTTTCCTGGTTATAATGTGCACCTACTGTTCTAACAGGAGCTATGAGTTCAAGAGAACCACCAAAGTGCAAGTCTGCTCCCAATGGGGAAGCAATTTCACTGAGAGTCAAAAATGATACAATCAATGTATTATGACAGACTTGGTGGGTTTTTAAATGAATACCCACTCTCTCCTGCCAGGGCTGAGTCTGAATCAGTTGCTCCACATCCAGGCCCTGACTGCCAACAAATGATGGATCAGGGTTTCTCCTGCAACTGCCATATGACTAGATAGGGATGCACAACTAGATTTCATACTGCATAAATGGCACAATTAGGCATAAGACCAAGCCCTGAAGCAGCATGTGATGGATTGCACAAGAACCCATTCTGTAATAATTGGACCCTCCCACACAACCACCATAATACAGTTACTTCAACTATCAATATTTGATCGAGACAGAATATAAATGAATGTATGTATGTATGTATGTATGTATGTATAAAAAGAAAGAAAGAGAGAAAGAAAGAAAGAAAGAAAGAAAGAAAGAAAGAAAGAAAGAAAGA